AAAGTTACTGGCAACACTGAACTTTTTCTGCACCTGGGCAGTGTGCATGTGTCAAAATTAAACATCAACATAATATAATCTTTTTTTTTCAAAACGCAATTGTGAATCTCGATCAATTCAATCATCTCCGCCATGGATTCTCCCAAATCGAATTGTCAGCACACATCCTGATGCCTGTCCAAAGAACTAGGTACATCATTTCGCGCCGGACTGCGTACAATCATTCCGATCACCCAGCATGAAGAAATCAGGGCAATCGCTTGCATAGCAACACTCCACAATCCCAACATTACCCGAAAAAATGCTCATCCAAGATAGTTTATCACCCAAAGTTCTCATCCCTCCTGGGTTCATGATATTCTCAGCTCCGTTATCAAAATCGTTACACCCGTCACGGCAGTCGCGTCTACATGTCCTCCCAGACAAAGAACAGCTGACAGCGGTATCGCGACCGGACCGAGGTTTCCGGCCACGGCTACTCGAATTAGCGATGCAGCTCCCACGGCTGCGGCTGCTTCCAATACTACTGCTGTTCTTGCGGCTGCTGATGTTGTTGCTGCTGATCCGTCTCCTACAACATTATTTTGACGGATTTTTATAGGAGACGGACCAGCAGAAGGACCAAGCAGCAACAAAAGCAGCAGCAACTACAGCAGCAGCAGTATTGGAAGCAGCCGCAGCCGTGGGAGCTGCATCGCTAATTTGTGTAGCCATGGCCGAGGCTGGAAATCTCGGTCCGGTCACGACAAGCGGTGCTTGTCGAAGACATCCATGGTGGCGGCTGCTACTACATCAACCATTCCATCGTCCAACATATAATGTTGCAGGACCGTCTTGGCAAAATCCACCCACAAGGTCCATATCTCGGAACGGAAATGTTGTTCCTACTCCCGGGTCTTCTCAAGTTTCGAAAAACAAAACAAAAAAAAAAGCTGTTAATATGCCAAACAAGGCATTATTCACAAGCAAATAAAAGTCAGTTTCGTGGCTTCTCGGCACTGCCAGCACAGCTGCGGCACACTGAGGCACATTGAGAAAAATTTGACCCAAAATAAGTGTGTAAAGTGACCACCCCTTGGGCCCAAGTGCAATGACAGCCAAAGCGGACCGGCAGCGGCGGCGGAAAAGCCCGATCTGAGTAAGCGTACTTGTCGGATTGAACACTAGTTAGAATAAAATCGAATTCGGTTAGGCATCTTGATGTTATTTGTGACAATTGTCAAGCTTTCCATTTCCGTCCCGCTTCCGCCCACATTGCGTTTGGGCCTTTACTGGAACACCAGCTCTATATGCAGGACTAATGTCACGGATGTCACTGACTTAAACATCTCGCGTGTGCATGGAAACATAAGTTGTTCTGTGCCAGATTCTGTTATATTTACTTAAATTAAAACATTAATCATTATTAAACAATTTACAATAAACACTGCGAAACCATTGACTTTACAATGTCTCGGCATAAACTAAAGCAATATTTTCATTCCATAAGAAATAACAACTCATAAAAGAAAAGACAAGAAAGCTGACACTACTTTTTTTATATAAATATATATTTAAGAAAACAAAACTGTATTAGTTGTACTAGTCTACGTTGGTTGACGAAATAAATAAATAAATAAACTTCCCAAGAAGTTGTTTAATTATCGCATCTATCAGTTGCGTAGCGTCGGATAATAACGCCTAATGTGAATGTATTGTGTGGCGGTCATTTTCTACATAACAGTGACTTTTTCTTAAATTTAAATCGAAAACAACCAGTGGTTTTCCACCTTTATTTAACTAAAACGATAGATAAACCAGACAAATTAGACTAACATACATTAAAATACATATTCAACCATTCCATAGCAAAACGATATAATGGCTCTCAGAATTTCGTAAAAATTGGTAGTTTTGTTCCTTATTGCAAAATATTAGACCCGTACTTTTTTTTGTTTTATCATTAGGGTGACCTTTTTGCATGGTCGATTGTTTTCCTTTTCGTTTTTGTAATGCAAAAATAAGAACAGCTTTTTACCTAAATGCAAATCTACTGTGTTTTACGTACCTTCCTTCGTACCGCTTCAAGAAAAAAAAAACATGTTTCATCAAGTGAGTGCAAATTTAATGCAAATGTGAACCCTGCCCTTATTCGACACTACTTCACCCTAATTAAATTAAATTCTACGGATGCAATGCACAATTTGACGCAAGTGAAATTAGCGTGGTCCTTATGATTATTGAGTTCAAAATATCATCTTTTAAGTTATCTGAGATAGACTAGCGTAATGTTGTACGAAGTTGTAGAACAATTTATTTGAAGCAACTTTGCTTAAGATACAAATTTTATATCTCTAATGCTTCTCTTCAGATTTTTTACATAAACTTTTTGCAAATTACTTGTTGAAGACACTATTAGAACATTCGATGGCGCATTTTTATACTGAAGTAACTAAGTTGCTATATATTTATATTTCTCAAATGTATGTAGATTTTTTATGATATAAATTGAATTGGAAAGTTCGTGGATTTATTTGTTTGTTGTGTATTAACCACGAGATCCTTTTTTGATTAACTTATTTAATTATCTTTCAAAAAAAGGCGAATTTCTTCACGAAAATCGTAATGACTTTTCAACTAAAAGAGGTAGCAACTTGATTGCTCGAGCAAAAATGTGCGCCATCAAAAGTTATAACGTGTCTATAATAATTCATTTGCGAAAAATCAGTGTATAAAAATGAAATTGAAAAAATCCGAATTTTCAGGGGACACCCTAAGTTATTTATAAAAACCAGTATAAAACGTGAACCGCTAAAGATAGAAAATGTCTTTCTTCAGTAAAGTTGCTTCAAATAAATAGTTCTCAAACATTATGAAGCAATGTGCAATGTGCAATGAGTGCACACTCTTGAAATATGATTTTTATCATCAAATTCCTTGAATATTTTTAATGTGATTATACATCACTAGAGAGAGAAATAGCAGACCATGAAATACGATTAAATGCCAAATCAATAAGAATTTCCATTTAACTCTTTGACTGCTCTTGAGTTAATTAATTTATGTTATCGTTTTATTTATATTACTATTATTGACATTTACATGCATGTTAGAGCAATACGATGTTTGATCATTAGGCCAAATGGTCACTAGGCTGAATTTAAGAATATTATTTCATTAAACTTTCAAAAAAGCAGCAAATAATAGAAGGATAAATAAGGATAGTCCATATTGGACTGAAAGCGCCAATAATGATGCGGTGTCATGCCAGAAAGAAGAAAAAGAATAAGCAGAAAAAGAAAAGAAAAACTGTAGAAACTTTTAGCCAAAGTGAACTAAAAGACAGACAAATAGCTAGGTGTGAGAAATGAATAATTAAATTTTTAAAGATGGAAACATATTGTGAATGCATATTTTCTTCATTGTGCCTATAGTCACGAAAATAGTCAATCGCGAAAAGACTACTCATGTTTAAAAGATGGAAATTTCCAAAATATAATCTTCGAAAATTCAGCGGATATATAAAATTTCCAAGTCCGAATAGTTTGAACAAAATATCTAAATATTTAAAATCTTAAAAACATAATTGTATAAGGAAGCTTGTCCAAATTTATTTGAGTCTGCGTAAGTTGGAAACCATTCGGCCTGGTGAGCACTCAGCATAATGCACATTTGGAATATAGACCATTCAGCCTAATGCCCTTCGGGCTAATGACCTTCAGACACCATATTCTACATTGTTAAGATTTATCATATGAACTCTTGGAATAGAAGACCACATTACCCGCGCTGACTGAGAAAAATTAAAGGAATCACTCTAGCCTAATGGTTTGTTGTCTAAATAGGCATACAGAGCATAATAGCAGCTCATAGCTATGCACGGGGACTCCCTTAGCTCAGTCGGTAAAGGCACAACTACAAAGCAAGACCATGCTGGAGGTGGCTGGGTTCGATTGGAAAATTTCTCGACTTCCCTGGGCATAGAGTATGATAGTACTTACCACACAATTATACTAATGCAAAAATGGTACAGGCATCAAAAGCTTTCAATTCATAACTGTCGGAGTGCATCTAGAACACTAAGTTGAGAGCATGCAATATACGATAAGCAAAAGTTTGAAATGCGATGAAGAAGAAGAAAAACCATGCTTTGAACACTTACACGCTCGGGGTACAAATTTGTAACAATTTTGTTTGAATTCCTAGAGTTTTCATTTGTTAGCATACTACACGTATGTTTAAAATTATAAAACAACTTTTTGATCTCTGCCAAACAACAAATCACTAAACTTTGTACCGCTTAAAGTTCGCGCATCATTACAAATATGAGCAAAACTTATCCCTTCTAAGTGATCGCATCATAATCAGATGATATCGATATCAGATATCACCAATTCTTATAGTGAAACGCATTAACATATCAACTATCAACAATGTCTTGTACCTCTCTATATCAATTCAATTATTGGAAAATAACTGTGAATATTTGCACAATAGAAGGTTTACAATCTCCCATTGTACCAAATTCAAGGTTCCTATTGTGTAAGGAGGACACCCTACAGAACATTCGAAAGCAAGCTGTAATGGTAAAAAAGAAATTCAGATCTCGTTTTCCTTTGCTCATCGGCTGACGGCCGGAGTAGCACTTTAATAATCCATGGAAAAGGGATGTAAAGGCAGTAGTCGAAAGCATCGCTCGAGAGTCTGGGGTATGATAAAACGATTGCAAAAAAATAATAAAAAAAAAATCACCAGAGCGCCGCCACCGAGGAATCTCCGTGTCTCTGTCTCTCCATCTCTCTCCCTCTCGACATGTATAATTCGCAATATGCCACTGGAACAGAATTTTAATCAACCAGACCTACCGGCATTCAAACACTCGCTAGAACATTTGAGGTTAATTCCACTTTCGTCCGGATTGTCCTTGTATCTAGTAGAGCTTAGTTACCAAAATTATTGGCTTCGTGCTTTGACACATTGATTACTGGACATTCAATCTAGTATATAATTACTTAACTCACTTTTTTTTAGTAACTTTAACAATGCTGAATACTATATCCTACAACAATATACTTTTGCGAGGCAAGTTTTATCCAAATTTAACCTTTAGTAAGTCCTTTAGGCGATAGAATCCTTCACTTTCCGCATATCGCGAGAGCTACACGCCTAGTTTCTGCAGCTTTCGTGATAGTTCAACACAGATTTTCACGGAAAGTGTACACACTTTGCTTATACACAGAGGCACCGCACGTACAATGCGGTGCGGTTCAGGACTAAATCGTCGCAGTCTCTACCACACCAAGCAAAGCAAGCTCCTCTATCACTCACTCGAATGATGTGCCTCTTCTTTTCCTGTTAAACACTCACACCGCGTGCGTGTCTTCTTTTTTATTACTCACTAAATTTATTCAACTTGATGGTACTTTTTCTTACAGTTCTTACACTATAAACTTCGTTCCGCACACTTGAAGATGAAAAGTTCGATGCTACTCGTAGAAGCGACACAGACGAACTGACCGAGCCCAACAACCCGGTTCGGATAGATCACCCTAGAAGACCACTGCCACAAACATACACTGTACGACTGATGGGCGCAGAGCGGAACCGATTACCGTCGTCGTTGGACGACGACGGATTCATTCGAGAGCGATGAGTGGTCAACCACGCTCATGAGAAACGCGCATCATCTGTGCTTTCCCGGTGGCCACAAATGACGAAACAGATTTTTTTGTTTTAAACTACTTTTATATTTAATGCTTGTGATCTCATTATTGATTCATAGTGATACCATAACAATCCTTCACGGTACACGATAAAGTTAAGCTATAATTATGAGATTTAGTAAACAATTGATATTAAGACATTCTATGCTAGGGAACATGGAGTAAAATGTATGGGATTTTTCAAACAGCAAACCCCCTGGAGGTTCCACACGCAACACCAATTTCACTTACATTCAATGTAAGGTTGGATTAATTATATCCTCTTCATATGTTTCATGCAATAACTGTTATGGCAGTTCATGCAATGGACTGCAGCGTACAAGCATGTTGATTCAGAATGCATATTTTTTTACAAAATTACCTTCACGACATGATTTTCTAGACGGAATGCATTTGGAGAAACAAACTTTGCTTGAAAAATATGCGAAAAATTACAAATTTATTTTAAAAACCTTTCGGAGGCTACATTACAGAATCTGTTCATGTCGTGAAACATTGCACATTCTTCATACTTTTCATACAAATCTGCAATAGAATCTTACATTTCCTGGTTTCGTGCATTTACGAAGCATATAATGAAAAAACTTGAACTTTTTTCTAGGACAGAAAAAATTAAAATATTAGACTTAGTGTAGAATATACTAATGTCCTAACACGTCACGTTTTTTTAAGTACCAGCTTCCCTAATAATGTTGCTGTATTTGTACGATCATGATCCTATACTGCCAAACCGTAGCATCTGGCATTTTTTGTAGGTAAATTACTGTAGGATCATGTTTCTATAGCATTTGAAAACGCTGCTATCTTGACCTCGTTAAGATCATTTTTCAGCTTTCAACAACTCATAAGATTTAATACATACTTCTTCTTCTTCTTCGAATTTCAAGCTTATTGCATATCACATATTAGCTTATTGCGTGCTCTCAACTTAGCGTTCTAGATGCACTTCCACAGTTATTAATTGAGAGCTTTCGATGCCTTACCATTTTTGCATTGGTATAATTGTGTGGCAAGTCCAATCATACTTCTATGCCCAGGGAAGTCGAGAAATTTTCCAACCCGAAAAATTCCTAGACCGGACCGGGAATTGAACCCAGCCACCTCCAGCATGGTCTTGCTTTGTAGCTGCGCCTTTACCGACTGAGCTAAGGGAGGTCCGAAGATTTAATACACCCAAAATCCTATATTCTAAATTGTGGCTTAAATGTTCTTTTGTTAAATTTAAAAACGGTACAGGTTTTTCATCATTATGACAATATCACGAGTATCTAGGACAGAAAAATCTATTTTGATCATATTTGACTTTCTTGTGGTCTCCTGAGTTAAAGTCGAGAAAATATTTATGAAATTAACATTTAGCGAAAAAACAAACTTTTCTAACCAGTCAAATTCTATTATTTTACACGTTCTTTTTAAAAGTAACGGTATTCCCTAGTATATGACTTGAAACCAATTTATTATGCTGGTAATCTGAACTTCACCTTCAAATTGGTGCCAAAAGTTTCTGCAGATATCTGCAGCAGAATAATTTAAACAATATCTTAAAGTTTTTCAACATTTTCTCCAAAGTATTTGGTTTTAACCATATTATTCCTCAACAAAATTTCAAATTGTGATGCATCTACATAATGATTTGCATGAGTTCGCTTTGAGAATTGTTCGAGAACGGTTGTGTGTTTTTGCTCCGCTGTGGGCAAAACTCATTTTTTAGTTCGGGATGTCTTTGTGCTGGCGTGTAGTTTTTTGGTGCTCGCATTTGAATAGTTTTGTGTCCCGGGCACGATAATTTGATTTGAAATGGTTTGTGCTGATGTTTCCTCTCTGTTGCTAAGGTGCCTGGTGTGCTATCGCTTCCCTTTGTTGCCGGTGTGACTCGACCGCGCTGATCTATTGTTAGGTTTTTGCGATGTGCATTGCTTTTGTGCACAGAGTGATTTGAAAAAGAAAAGTGATATTGTGTGTTATTGTGTGGTTGGAATCGCTAGAATCGACTAGAGGCAAATATGCGTGTAAGCATTGGATCCCGGATATATTGAATTGGTGAGTACGTTCCAGTTGAAGATTGTTCTTATACATTTCTCGATTGCATTTTCGAGGGGACGTGTGTCGAGTGTCTGCTTTTGTGGGCGACGCGTTTGATGGTCAAATTCGTGTGGCTGGTGGCTCGCCCACGCGTGCTATCGCCTCTATCAGGCAGAGGAAATTTCTCCTATCTGATGGTGGTGTTGGCATGCGTGGGCGGAATGCCGGTTGCGCTGGATTGGGGTCGGATACATTATTTGCGGGAGTGGATGTGTCCCTTCGGAGAAGTAATCGTAATTTATGTTCATCGTTTCCCATTTGCCAGAGGGATGACCTCGATCGCGTGAGACATGTTCCTCGGTTTTTACGGTTAGATGCCTAAAAATAATTCATTATGATTTTTTTTTTGTATGTTGAAGCATGATTCATTAAGAAAATAAATGTCGCGATCGAACATGCAAGCTTGACCTATTGGTTTTTATTCAGTTGCTGTGGAACTTTGATGTCTTCCTGTCCAATCCTCGGAAATGGTTCGTTTAAGAGATATTGGGTTTGTTGTCTAAATTGCATTCTCCTCTGAGTTGCACGCCCGTTGATCTCATGCACGCCCGTTGATCTCATGCACGCCAGTAGATAGTGCATTTGGTCATATGTATATAGTTTGTAACTCTCTGCACAGAAGTCATAACGATATGCGGTCTTCAACAAGGTTGAACTACATATTTAGCACAATCTAAGTCTAAGGTATTGACAATCAGGGCTGGATTTGAAGAGAGCAATGACTGTCCCTCGACTAGGGGGGGGAGGGTCAGCCATGGAGGCTTAGCAAATATTTGTTGTATTGTTTAATTTATCATATTTACTATTTCTTCTTCATCTTCGCATTTCAAACTTATTGCATATCGCATATTAGCTTATTGCGTGCTCTCAACTTAGTGTTCTAGATGCACTTCCACAGTTATTAATTGAGAGCTTTCGATGCCTGTATCATTTTTGCATTAGTATAATTGTGTGGCAAGTCCAATCATACTTCTATCCCCAGGGAAGTCGAGAAATTTTCCAACCCGAAAAATTCCTAGACCGGACCGGGAATCGAACCCAGCCACCTCCAGCATGGTCTTGCTTTGTAGCTGCGCCTTTACCGACTGAGCTAAGGGAGGCCCTATGCTAAAGCAAATTATTTTCATTTTTCGTTCAATAATAAAGCTTAGGCCTGAACTTCTGATTTAATTTTATACGTTGGTATGCCAATATATCTCTAAGCTTTTTGGTCACCAATAGTTGAGTTGAGGTAAAATATCTTTCTGCAAATGAAGGTCATTGAGGACATCGATAGAGAGAAGATTGATATTGAATAATTGACGGCTACATTGTAGCTAAATGGATGTTTACAATTCTTTTTACTGATTTGTACTGTTTTTAAGTAGCATTGAAACAAAGAGAATAAACGCAATTCTGAATTGGGCACCGTAATTCGGGTGCAAATGGATCACATAAAACGTAAATATGGAAATGAATTCTAACAATCTAGAAAATCGTCAAACTTATGGTAATAATAATTGATTTTGTGGATTTTGTACGGACGTAATGCAAATCCCTACTTGTCAATACGGGAACTTGCAAAAAAATGATTTACCTAAATCCACTGTTCATGGTCTCAAATCATTTTTGGAACGTTTGACGGTCGAGAGGATACCGAGAAGTGATAAAAACATTGGACGTGCTGATCCTGTCATGGACCGAAAGGTGAAGAGGATATTGAAGGAAAACAACAAAATAACGGAATCGACGTTTGTACTGGATGATTTCAAGTAGCTTCCAGGGCTGGCTTTCTGTTCTGCCAAAAATGCTACACCTGAGTATTTCAGCATTAAGAAGCCATCGAAATTTCCTAAAAAAAAATATCTTATTTAGCAAGTAAATCTTTCGAGTGTTCACTCGGCTGTCGACAGAAGCAGACCACTCTCAATGTGTGTCAAGTGATCGTCTGTTTACTCGGCAGCAACCATTGTGTGGTCCTCATCATTGTTCTTCATCAGCAGTTCTTTCAGTCGATGCGTCGTCGACCTTGCAAAGCAACCGTTTCGTGATGAATGTGTGAGTGCTGACCACGTTTTGCGTCCATTGCTACAATGGAAGCGCTCTGACCCTCGTTGGCGAATCTGCCATACAAGTAAACCACTGGAAGCGGCTCCCGTTGTGGTAGAGGAGGCTTATTGGATAGCGGAAGATAAAACGTTTATTGTGTTGTTCCTTTTGACTATAGTTTTAAGATGTATTGTATAGTGAACAAGAATCCTCGGCTCTGTAAAGTTAATTCGGTTGAGGCTTATCAAATAAATTAATAATAATAATAATTAAATCTTTCGTCACTACAGGCACAATCAACAAGGAGATTTACCAGAAAGAGTACCTGCAGAAGCGATTGCTACCCTTCATCAAAAGCAACAAAGAAAACCCTTTGTTCAGGTCCGATTTGACATCATGCCATTAGGCTAAAACTGTGATGAAGTGGTACGAACCGAATCAGGTGAATATTGTACCAAAAACCGCAAATCCACCAAATTGTCCAGAGTTACGGCCAATCGAGAGATATTGGGCTCTGATGAAGCGGAAGCTTTCTGGAAAGAAACATGGAATCAAAAATATCAAACACTTCCAACAAATTTGGACAAAAGCGGCCACCACGGTATCTAAGGAGTATGTACTAACCATAATGGATCGAGTTGAGCGAAAAGTTTGAATAACTATGTTTTGACTTCGTGGATTTTTAAATCATATCCCATGTATCTGAAATAAATAACTACAATTGAAATC